ATGCTGTTCTACTGTAGGTAAAATGCTATTAAACAGCATTGCATGCTACAGATAAATCTTTTGTGAAAGGAAGAGTCAATCAATGTGGCAAGCTTTGTTGTTGTCTTATTTTATGAAATTGGCACAGCCACGCCAACTTTTGGCAATCACCGTTCTGATCAGTTAGCAGCCATCGACATCAAGGCAAGATACCCACCATCGGCAAAAAAATTACGACTCACTGAAAAGCTCAGGTGATTTTAGCATATGTTTGGTAATAAGTTATTTTTGATTCAGATATATACATTGGTTTTTTCAGACATAATGTCTTTGTACACTTAGTAGACTACCTTATAGGGTAAACATAACTTTTATGTACCCTGGGAAACCAAAAAATGTATGTAACTGGCTTTATTGTGATATTCGCTTTATTGTGGTGGTCTGGAACTGAACCTGAGATCTCTCTGAGGTACTGTACTGGAATTTCCAAGGTTAGTGAAACATCCTTTCTGTAGCCTGAGTGGTGAGATTTAGGCTAGTCTCCAAAATATCAAAACTAACTAGAATATAATGTAATAACAGTGATCATTAAGATAACAATGCTAGCAGCTACCATTCACTGAGTACTATGTGCCATGCACTCTGCAAGCGCTATTTTATTAATGCTCGTGTGTGAGGTAGATATTATTATTATTCTTGTTTTATATTCAAGGTTCAGAGAGGTTAATTCACTTGCTCAGAGTCACACAGGTAGCCCAGATCTGCTATGTGCCAGCCCTAATTACTGAGCCATCCTGTCTGTCCCACCTTTTCTGAGCCAACTCCCGGCTTCTCCTGCACCACGGGTCGTGTAGCTGGCTTTGAATATAGGGTCGTGTAGCTGGCTTTGAATATAGGTGCTCTTTTTATATAAATGCTCTTGAAAGGATCAACTTTCCTTTTTTTTTCAAATAATTCAGTAACTTTGACTTTTTATTAGGTTACACTGGCCTTCTCCCAGGTTTTTCATTAAATTCATGAAGACTGCTGCTCCTTAAATTCTCAAGGCGTTGGAGTCAGGCCGCCTGGGGTGAATCCTAGCTTTCAGATTTATCAAATGTGGTGTGATTTCTAGGATGCCATTGAGCCCTGCTAAAGGAGTTGCTAATATCCACCTCTTTCTGCCCAAAGAACCCGCAACTCCCAGCACAGTGCTGGTGCCTGTGAGGCACTCAGCAGATGGGAGCTTTGTTCCTAGTTGTGTTGTGATGGGGAAGCAACATGGCGCCTTGTCCTGCGGGCACACTTGAGTTAAGATCACACTGGGGCTCCTTTAGGCCCTGGGCCGAGTTGGGGCATAGGCCGAGTTCGGGTATTGCTGCAGCCTCAGAACTGCCCAGAGTTGACTGAAGACACTCAGGGACCTCCATAACTGAGAGCAGGCAGAGGCATTGTTTTTAACCCAGTGTGGACCCCCAAATGGAACATTTTCCTTCCCTAGGTGAACGCCTTCAGAACCCTCCGAAAATCACAGTTTCACTTTTAGCAAGGCCCCGCTGCAGCAGGGGAAAGCCCCCACAAACCCAGTCCTCTCCAAAGGGAGCGTTCTGAGCCCCCTGCTTCCTTCGCCCTTCTCTTCCCCCCGGTTAATTCCTTCGCTGCAGCTCGTTCTGCCTTCTTTCTTTGCCTTTTCAAGCCCCGCTCCTCTCTGATTTTGGAGGGCTGGCGCAGGCTTGGGCACTTCTTTCAAGGTTCTGTATTGTCTGTCTGCCCTGTGGCTTCTCCTTCTGCAACTCCGAGCAACTTTGTGCTTGGATTGCAGCTCCCAATAGTCCTGCCCTGATTTGCCCCAGGCACAGGGCAGAGATGAACCAGGGACTGTACCCAGGGTTTTGAGTTCCGCCATGTTTATAGCATCAACTCTCCTTTAGCTCTTGGGAAAAAGAGTTTTAAAGTGCTGCAATCTTCTAACACAAAATTATATCAATGCTGAAAATGTGTTTTCCACTTATACCCCAGCAGGAAAAAAAAAAAAAAAAAAAGATATCTATTTCAGGTGAGAGTCATGATGACCTCAGAAAGCAATATCAAAAGCTATCAAAATGTTTATACGGGTAGATTCAGTAATCCAATCTGGAACGTTTCTCCAATGGATGTAATCTTAGGCTTGGCACAATACAGCATGAACAGAGATGTTAAATGTTAAAAGCAATGGAAATGTTCAGAAATAAAGGAATACTTAAGTAAACAGTGATAATGCATTCAGTATATTTTTAGGGATTAACATGATGTTTTAGAATTACGAAACCTGTGGAAAGATTGACAAGGAAAACGCAGACAGCATGCTTGATACAAACATACATTCAGCATGATTATAACCATATAAAATGTAAAAAATGTTTTTAAAACATGAGAAGAAATTACACCAAGATGTGTTTCCCTTGCTGTTGTTTCTAGTGGCTAATTTTTGCAATGTGTATTACTGCAGTTATAATACCTTTACAAATGGAAAGCTTAAAAATAACTCACTTCCCTTCCCAGAGAGCAATGCTCAGTGCAAAGCCACACTCCACTCCAGAGATGGCCTTCAGCACTGGACTTTTTGGGGCCAGAATCAAGCAGTATGTGTCACTTCTTGTCTTATGTTGTTGGTGCCACTTATTCATATGTTGTCTCATAATTCTGCAGTTGTTTAATGTGTTTATATCTTTCTCCACAACCATTTTTTAAAAGCTATTTTTAAAATTGTGGCAAAACACATGCATAACACAAATTTACCATTTTAGTCATTTCTAAGTATACACTCCAGTGGCATTAAGTATATTTATATTTTTGTGCAATCATTACCACCATGCAATCACAGAACTTTTTCATCTTCCTAAGCTAAAACTGTACCCATTAAGCACCAACCCCCTATGCCCCATCCCCCAGTTCCAGGTAACCGCTAAGCTATTTTCAGTTTCTCTGACAAATTCAGAGAATTTGGTACCTCCTACAAGTAGAATCATACTGTATTTACCTTTTTGCACAATCATTTTTTAAAACTTTAAAAAACATTAATTAATTTGACAGTCTCACTCGGTCACCCAGGCTGGTTGGTGTTTGCAGTGGCATGATCATGGCTCACTGTAGCCTTGACCTCCTGGACTCAAGTGATCCTCACATCTCAGACTCCCGAGTATCTGGGACTAAGGCACCCACCACAGTGCCTGGCTAATTTTTTAATTTTTAGTAGAGATGAGGTCTCACTATGTTGCCCAGGCTGATCTCAAACTCCTAGGCTCAAGGGATCCTGCTACTTCAGCCTTTCAAAGTGCTGAGATTACAGTGTGAGCCACTAGGCTCGGCCTGCAGAATCTTTTTAAAAAGCTGTGGTCTCTCAAGGGGACGGTGTAGTGGACAGAGATAATGAAGAAAAACACAGGGAAGAAAGAATGACAGAGAGTGAGAAGTGCTGTAAGTGCAGTGACGGAGACCACCCCGGGGCCTCCTGGATAGGCTGCATGTTTGTAGGATGATGGGGAGTGGTCCTGGAGAAGACTGAGGAGGAGCCCTAGGGGGTCCAGGCAGAGAGACGAGGGGCACAGAGCTGGAGGAGGGAAGGGCGTTTGTACAGTGTGTGTGTGCGTGTGTGTGTGTGTATGCTGGGGGACATGCAGGGAGATGGCAGGCCTCAGCACTGGGGAGAGCTGGAGTGCATTCTAGATGCAGCGGGGAGCTAGAGCAGGGACCTTCTTCTCCCTGCTCGGCCTGGCAGCAGGGAAGAAGGCCTTGGGCTGTGGCTGATTGCAGTCAACACTGAGGAACAAGTGCCAATGCTTCGTGCAGGGCACAACCTCTGCCACACTTTTACCTATGTGACCTTTCTGGGCCAGGTGCTGTGTGAGGTGCTCCATTTCTCAGATAGGAAGGCTGAGGCTCAGATCAATGCTGCCTTGCGCACAGCTGGAAATGGCCAAATCAGTCCCAAAGCCCCACTTTATTCTGCGTCTTTGTGAAGGGCCGGGTGGCTGTGTGTGCAGTGTCTGTTGTGCTGGACATACAACAGGAAAGCAATTGTTACCTCTGATTTTTAGGAGGCCAAAGGACAAGAAGCCACGTGCTGTAGGCCAAAGAGCAACTGAGGGATTGAAGAGTAAATCTGTGATTGAATGAGCAGATGAAAAGAGGAAAAGCCTCCCCCAGCACAAACCCGCAACCCATTCCCTTCCCAGCGTCCTGGGGGCAGGGAGTTTCATCACTGTCCTGGGTCAGGGAAGAAAGAGGGAGGCCTTGTGGTGGAGGGGAGGGGAGGAGAGCTCACCATCAAAGGTGTAAAGAAGGTTCTAGTCCCTCCAGAGCACACTCAGGGATGCTTTCTTGTGCTTCTGTCGCAAGGCCTGGTCTCAATCTTGCTTACTATAAATGCAGTGCTACGTCCTGCTTTTCCTTTACTTCATTGCATAAACCTTCCCTGAATCACTTACAGAATCTTTAGAACCACCATTTTTAAGGTTTGAATAGTTGCGTACCAAGTAAATGACCACAGCTTATTGAAACTCCTCTTTGTAGTCAACCACTTAGATTGTTCTGTTGTTATTTCTAGAACACATAACTAATGCTAATAAATAATGATGATAACACAGATTAGTATTTCCTGAGGATGGATCTGTTGCGCGAGTTCCAAAGCTCTAAGCAATTTCTATGGGCCCTGGAGTTTCCTCCACAGCTCCTAAGGCGGCTCTGGCACATGAGGAAGCTGGGAAAAGAACAGGGGTGATGGACACATCTGCCTTGCAGGGGTGATGGGCGCATCTGCCTTGGTAAGTGAACTTGTTGGTTCTGTCCCACGCAGCTTGGGTGTCTGCACGGCGGTGTGCTGCTGGGGTTGGAGAGGGGCCGCCCTACATAACGTCCCCACATAAAAGGGGCAGGTGTGCAGGTGGTCGCGGGGATGGTGGCAGCTTTGTCTGACTCCCCTCTACTGGGGGCTGTGGGGGATGTGGGAGTGGAGGGTGCGGATCACCCTCCTCCGGGGTCCTCCAACCTCTCCTTGGCCATTCTCTTTGACTTCCTTGGGAAAGAGTCCAGGCTTCAGAGGATTCTTTGCCCATTTCAATCTGACCCCATTTGAATCCCCAACGGTCGCAGTAAACCCCAGGCACACAAAGATAGAGACTTGTGGCTGGCTTGCGGTTGCTGTGATCACGTTGGAATCAGACAACGGCTGCCCTGGCAGGCAGCACCCAGGCACCTCTCAGGTGGGAAAAGACTGAGCCAGGTGAATGTCCCCGAGCTCCAGCCAGCTCAGGCTCCTATGGGTGATAACTGCACCTCTCGGAGGAAGCCAACAGAAAGTGCATGCAGCGGCAACATGAGCAAAGAGAAGTGCTGGGACCCGTTCTTTGCTGCCACCTCCAAGTCTGAACAGCAGGCTCTAAGGGGGGCATGGGAGCCCCTCAGGAAGGGCCACTACCCGTGCCTCACCTCCTGCCCGCCACTCCACTCTTTATTGCCCTACCTGACTGTAACAGGCTGCGTCTTCAACGTGGTGTCAGCTGCCCCAGAGACACCTGAAGAACACCAGGAGACAGGGGTGCCATTCGGACATGAACAGGAGCTCCTACCTGAATGTGCAGACCTCCACCACTGGAGCTCTCGGGGGAAAACATCCACGACAGCCTCGCTGAGCCTTGAAACATTTGCAGACCAAGCAGGCTCAAGTGCCCGTGTTTGCAGGCGGTTTTATAGAACGTGTCATTTATCTATTCATGTACCCTTGAAAGCCCGAGAGGAAGTGTGGTCGTGTGGGGAGCTCTGTGCAGGCAACATGAGAGTCTGTATTGTCTTCCTAGCTCTGCCCCGGTTGTCAGAGGAGTGCATCTGGGCCACAGGGGTGAGGGGCCGTCACCCCTGCCTTTTGGTTAGCCAGTGACACCTCCCCAGTTGTGTGGCAGGGGATGCAGCACTAATGCCCATGAGCTCCTCTCAACATTCAAAACAAAACAGAGAGCCACTCTAAAACAGTGGCTTTCTTGCAAATGGAATATGCTGAGAATCTGTGACATGTGCAGGTCGGTAAGTGAGAAGGAAACAGGAACTACCGATCTATTCTGACAATGTAGAAAGCAGTGGAGGTTTGGGGCCAGGAGAACAAAAGACCTATGGGAGAGGAGGTGACCCAGCAAGGGTGGCCATGGACTTGGGTGAATCACCTGAGCCCTGTCACTTGGAAAGAACCCTAACAACCATCTTAATCCTTTCTGCATAGATACCTTACTGTGCTGCTGCTGGGTGTGAAGCATGGCTACTAAAAATGTTCACTTCATTTTTAAAAAGTAGAGCAGGTTCAAGGTTATTGCTGTAGAAGACAGTGTCACTCTCACTCATGTGCATTGTGGGAGGCTTCCTTAGCAGGATCGAAAGAGGTGGAATTACAGTGGGCACTGGAATTGGCTATGGTTCACACATGTAGACATGATTGAATTTTTTTTGTTGTTTTGTTTTGTTTTGTTTTGTTTTGTTTTGAGACAGAGTCTCGTTCTGTCGCCCAGGCTGGAGTGTAGTGGCACGATCTCGGCTCACTGCAACCTCTGCCTCTTGGGTTCAAGCGATTCTCCTGTCTCAGTCTCCCAAGTAGCTGGGATTATAGGTGCCCACCACCACACCCAGCTAATTTTTGTATTTTTAGCAGAGGCAGTGTTTCACCATGTTGGCCAGACTGGTCTCCAACTCCTGACCTCAGGTGATCTACCCACCTCGGCCTCCCAGAGCGTGGGGATTACAGGTGTGAGCCACCGTGCCCGGCCGACTGTGGATTTTATCGCAGCAAAAAGTTCATCTTGGTACATCAGCTAAGACTGTGGTCAAGTGTAAGCCATTGAGTAGACTGGTTTTTGAGTGATTCTTGGAAGCTTGCAAGGACTTCTTTTGAGAAAAAAAAATAAAACTCTCTGGTAGAGTTAAACATGAATCGGCTTGCCCTGAGAGTTCGGGTTCTATGTCGCGAGAGGTAGTTAAATGTGGATTGGGGGCCTGGTGCGGTGGCTAATGCCTGTAATCCCAACACATTGGTAGACTGAGGTGGGGGGATTGCTTGAGCCCAGATTGAGATTAGCCTGGCCAACATAGTGAAACCCCATCTCTACAAAAATACAAAAAATTAGCCAGGTGTGGTGGCATGTGCCTGTGGTCCCAGCTACTCAGGAGGCTGAGGTGGGAAGATCACTGGAGCCCAGGAGGCAGAGGTTGCAGTGAGCCGAGATGGCACCACTGCACTCCAGCCTGGGTCACAGAGCAAGACCCCATTTCAAAAAAAAAAAAAAATTGTGGAGTAGACAAATATGGGGCAGGGTTGCTGTTTGCTGTAAAGGGTGGTCACGTTTTATTTTGGAAGCTGAATTAGGTGAACTTTAAATTCTTTTTGCAACATAGAGTTCTACAGCTCTGGATCAGATTTTGCTAGTTGCAAAGATTTTTGAATTTTAATTGCAGTTTGCTGCTGTTTCACCCACAACAAAAGTAGATGAAGAACTCATAGCTTATATGCACTGATCACGAACTCTGGGACTTTATAGAGCAGACGAGGAAAACTTGTGCAGGACCTGAACTTGAACTGCCTTGACTCTTGTTCCCATGTGCTGGGGGATGGGGCAAGGACATCTCACTAGGTATCAGTGGGTGGTATACACTGAGTAAAGTCCTATCCTTATAGTGTTGTTTTCTTGCCTGGTGACTTGACTGAGTTTAGGCTTAGTGACCTGCTTGTAAAATGGCAAGAGTGTGTACATGCATAAGTGATTAATTGACATAATGCAGGTAAATAGTACAGTACCAAACGCATAACAAATGCTTAATAAATGAAGATGGTGGCCGGCAAGTGGGGGTGAATGTCAATAAACAACATGTGAAGATATGGATCATCTGGTCACTTTAAACTTTTAGCCAGATCAATGTGGGCAAAATTTCTCTAAAAATAACTAGAATTGTGTGTGTGTGTGTGTGTGTGTGTGTGTGTGTGTGTGTCTGGACCCACAGAGAAGTTTTTTAACACAGATATATAAAGTAGATAATCTCATTTATATTTTGGAAAATTTTAATTTTTAAAAATTTTTGTTATTTGATGATGATGATTTGTTTCCCCTCACGTTGGTGAGGATGGTCTCGATCTCCTGACCTCGTGATCTGCCTGCCTCGGCCTCCCAAAGTGCTGGAATTACAGGCATGAGCCATCGTGCCTGGCTGGCATATGCTCTTTCTGAATATTTTTTTTTACTTTGGATTCCTAATTGGATTCCTAATATTGTTTACTGTGGATTCCTAATTAGGGAAAAAGTAGTCAGGCTGGTGGGAGTCAGGCGAGTGGGAGCAAGGGAAAATAAAAAGAGAAAGCAGATAAGCAACAAGTCTGCCTTTCTTTATGGTCCAGGACACACAGTCCTTCCAAGCAAGTAACTCTCACCAGACACCTGCAAGTTAGTTCACTGCAACCTTGGCATTATTAATACTACACAAAGCCCTCTTCAACAGATGGTATAAACACTACCCTGTAAAATCTCCAGCAAGCCTTTGTCTCCTTGCTGTCAGTTTCTCTCTGCTGCCTGCCCGTTGTCACTCTGGCAACGTATTTTCTAATAAATCTTCTGCCTTTCTTTACCTGCAACTGTCTCGGTAAATCTTTTACCTCCACACCACCGGCTGTCATTCCCCCACGACATTTAACACGTTTCTCACACAGGTAATTTCTTTCCTCTTCTGCCCAGGGCTGGGTTCATAGAATATCTAATATTTGATAATCTGCTTTTTACATTTAATAATGCATTGTGAATATCTTTCCATTTATTAAACATTCTTGTACAGCATTATTTTAATGTCATTTATTACCTTGCATGGATGTATTCAGAGGAGGTTTTCCAACTCTAGGAGATGCTGTTGACAATCTCATTTATTTCTCTCTCTCCCTCCCTCTCTCTCTCACCCTTTCCTCTCCACCCTTCCTCTTGCTGCAGCCTCCTCACAGGGTCATAGGCACAGGCACACAGCTACAGACATGAAGATGCTTTCCTGCATTACAAAAAAGGATAGTTTAAATACTTCCCTGCATCCTGCTTTTCCTCCTTAATAGTACACTCTGGCAGTCTTTCCAAGTTAATATATCTTTTTTTTTTTTTTTTGAGATGGAGTCTCACTCTATCACCAGGGCTAGAGTGCAGTGGCATGATCTCGGCTCACTGCAACCTCTGCCTCCGGAGTTCAAGTGATTCTCCTGCCTCAGCCTCCCGAGTAGCTGGGATTACAGGCACGCACCACCATGCTCAGCTAATTTTTGTATTTTTAGTAGAGACAGAATTTTGCCATGTTGACCAGGCTGGTCTCAAGCTTCTGACCTCAGGTGATCGCCTGCCTTGGCCTCCGAAAGTGCTGAAATTACAGGTGTTAAGCACCACACCTGGCCCTTCCCTCTCCTCTCCTCTCCTCTCCTCTCCTCTCCTCTCCTCTCCTCTCCCTCCCTCTTCTCTCTCTCTCCTGCTCTCTCTCACCCTTTCCCCTCCACCCTTCCTCCCTCTTTTTCTTTTCCTTCCTTTCTCCCTTCCTTCCTTCCTCCTTTCCTTTCCTTTTCCCTTCCTTCCTTCCTTCCTTCCTTCCTTCCTTCTTTCCTTCCTTCCTTTTCTTGGGGGGCGGTGGGGACAGAGCCTTGCTCTGTTGCCCAGGCTGGAATGCAGTGGCTTGCTGTAACCTCAAACTTCTGGACTAAAGTGACCCTACGGCCTCAGCCTTCCAAGTAGCTGGGACTGTAGGCATGTACCACCATGCCTGGCTATTTCTTTTGTAGACACAGGGTCTTGCTTTGTTGCCCAGGCTGGCAAACCATTCTTTTTTTTTTTTTTTTGAGACCGAGTCTTGCTCTGTTGCCCAGGCTGGAGTGCAATGGCACAATCTCGGCACACTGCAACCTCCACCTCCTGAGTTCAAGCAATTCTCCTGCCTCAGCCTCCTGAGTATCTGGGATTACAGGCACCCGCCACCATGCCTGACTAACTTGTGTATTTTTAGTAGAGATGGGGTTTCACCATATTGGCCAGGCTGGTCTGTAACTCCTGACCTCGTGATCTGCCCACCTCGGCCTCCTAAAGTGCTGGGATTACAGGTGTGAGCCACCGTGCCTGGCCAAATCATTCTTTTTAAGTCATTCTTTTGATGGCTACATGATATTTTTGGGTGTAGATAGACAGCAACTTATTAAATGATTCCCTATTGATTAACCTGGGATTGTTTCCCATTTTTATTTTTCCCAAACGATATTGATAGAATCATCTTTGTGTATTATTCTGATGCAATGATGCTTCTACTTTCCCGGGGGCCTATTCCCAGGTGTGCTGAGTGACAGTCCCTGATTCATGTTAAATGCTACTAGATGGTGCCCCCCTGTTTTCCATGAGGCTGCAGCGCTTATCACAGGATCAGCAACACCTGCGTGCCCTTGGCCCCAAGCTTTCCGCAGTGAGCAGCATCGCTGTTTTACATTTTCACTTACTCAGTGACATTTGTATGCAAATGACAGATTATTATTTTTCTGGAAGATGTATGCTTAACCATGTCAGGGTCATAACTCATGCTATGAAAAAGATTTTGGTGTAGAGGTCATAGCAGAAGAAATGAGAACATGTGAATCAGCCTTCCTCTCTTAGACGCAGACACACACAAAGGTCTTAACTGAGCTTGGATATTAAAAGCAGTGCAGGGGAGAGGGTGGGGAGGTTTGGAGTTACCATCAGAAGCGTCTGACCAGGCTCAAATGTGGGATAGTTGTCCACTGAAGAGCCTTGTGTGTCACAATGTCTAGGAAAAAATGTATAAGACAAATGTTCCAGGCCAGGCATGGTGGCTCACGCCTGAAATCTCAGCACTTTGGGAGGCCGAGGCGGGAGGATCATGAGGTCAGGAGTTCGAGACCAGCCTGACCAACATGGTGAAACCCCATCTCTACTAAAAAATACAAAAATTAGGGAGGCATGATGGCGCATGCCTGTAATCCCAGCTACTCAGGAGACTGAGGCAGGAGAATCGCTTGAACCCGGGAGGCGGAGGTTGCAGTGAGCCAAGATCATGCCACTGCACTCCAACCTGGGCAACAGAGCGAGATTCTGTCTCAAAAAAAAGAAAAAAAGACAAATGTTCCCCTGCACCCTCCCCACTAAATTGATTGCCTGCCACACAGAAGCACACACAGGCGCACTCCGAAATTACGCAGATAAACGCTCGAGAGTATTCTTCCGTCTCCCATTGATAAGCTCTTTTCTGTGCTGGGCGGGGCTGGAGGACTTCCTGAGGGAGGAAGCTGGAACTGCCAGAGTGAGCACTGGCTCTTGTCTGAGTCCCTGTGACCCTTTCTTCTCTCCTCCCTCTTCCCCTACACCACAAGGTAGACCACCCGACGTGGCTTTCCGAGTTTCTAGGGAGGTGGGCTTTGAGCAGGGCCCACAAAAGAACTTCAACCAAAGTCTGCTTGTCTTGTGGAAGCTGCCCTACCTTCCTGTTCCCAAACCAGCAGCATCAGTGTGGCTGCAGTGTAGGTACTCGGATAGAAGGGGGTCAACCCAAGTTCCATCTTCTGCCCTGGTCCAGCTAGAGCCTTGGTGATCTGAAGTCAGCCCCACTTTTTGTGCTGATCACGTTTACTGTTGCTCTCCCTTCCCCATGTCCCCCAAACTTGGCTGAGGCTGAGGAGAGGGTGGAGGGGTGGGAGTCATGGCCTCCCTTTTACCTGGCCTGGTCTTGCCCAGATAGCAGGCCTGGCCCAGCAGGCAGCTTCAGGCTCTCAGGATGCTGCAGGGGTGCTGGGGAGGGGTGTGTGGGGAAGAGGGGCCTCCACCCCTCTGCCAACACCACCTCACATCTTCCCCTCGTAACTTTGCCCTCACTCAACCGCAGAGACCTCCACAAAATCTGCGAGAGGCTCTGAACTCCACTCCCAGACAAACATAACCTTTTTGAGAAGGCAATCCATGCCCTCTGCTTGTGTTGGCATCACCTGGATCTTTCTCTGGTCTGTGCAGGGCTGGCACGAGGCTGCAGCCAGTGAGGCACTGAGGCCACTCACTCTCGGAGCCATGCAAGTGCCAGCCTTGGGCCTGTGTCCCCCTGGCCATGAGAATGAAAGCCCGTAGGGTTAGGGACAGCTTCTGAGCCAAATCTTTAGTGCCTGAAACACGTGCCTGATTGAGATCTGAGTTGTTGACCTTGGTTCTCTAAGGGGATTGTCCATTGTACTTGGCAGAGTACTTGGCACATCCTGAGTGGTCCTCACAGCCTTAAGGAGCACAGAAAGGTGGATGGGTGGGCGGGGGAGCCAGCAGGGGAGGTGCTGGGCTGTGCTCCCAGCTTGTGGGGGCCTAAGGACCTTCTATCTGAGCCTTTTGCTTTGTTCATTCATTCATTTCAATTCTGGCCTCAGGCTTAGGACTGACTTGTACAGGTAGCAGGAAAGAACCAGAGGACCCCCACAGGCCTTGTCCCTGAGCTAGTAGGGAGCGAACTGAGGCCTACGGGCTCTAAGCAAGACTGCAAGCCCTGGGGACCCAACTATGTCTATCCTGGCTACGCTGCACCCCTAGTCTCAGCACAGGGCTGGCTGAGCCCACAGAAGTTTCCCCAAATAGCTTTGAACTGGCATCAAGAAATTTAAGGAATTGGGCATGGTGGCTCACGCCTGTAATCCCAACACTTTGGGAGGCTAAGGTGGGAGGATCGCTTGAGCTCAGGAATTTGGACCAGCCTAGGCAACATAGCGAGACCTCATCTCTACTAAAAATAAAAAATTAAAAAAATAAGTGGGCATGCTGGTGCACAACTGTAGTCCCAGCTACTCACTTGAGTCAGGGAGGTCAAGGTTGCAGTGAGCCATGACAGCGCCACTGCACACTAGCCTGGGCAACAGAGCACTGTACACACACATACACCCCACCCCCCAAGGAAGAGGAGAATTGAGTGTAGAGTTGTGGGTATTAGTTCAGTCATAAACGGGCACAGGAGTAGAAATGGTCTACAGTTAAAAATGCATGAAAAGGCCAGGTGCTGTGGCTCATTCCTGTAATCCCAGCACTTCGGGAGGCCGAGGCGGATGGATTGCTTGAGCCCAGGAGTTCAAGACCAGCCTGGGTGACATGGGGAAACCCCATCTCCACCAGAAATATAAAAAATTAGCCAGGTGTGGTAGTGCATGCCCATAGTCCCAGGTACTCAGGAGGCCAAGGTGGGAGGATGGCTTGAGCCCGGGAGACAGAGGTTGCAGTGAGCCATGAGTGCGCCACTGCACTCCACCCTGGGTGACAGAGCAAGACCCCGTCTCAAACAACAACAACAAAATTACCTAAAGGAATGGACATGGTTTCCTCTCAAATTTAGAAGTCTAAGCAAAGCTCTTAAAAGGGTACTCGCATGTGAAAGGCAGTAAACTAACAGGAAAAACAGGATCCAGGAGAGCCAACAGTACTGTGCAGGATGTAAGTGCCTTCTTCAGTGCCTCTGCTTTCAGCTTTACAGGAATCACATGTGTCATGCATATTTCTGTGAATCTCAAACTGATGCGGGGCTGGGGAATATGGTTTCCTTCTGTCTGAGTTATGCAACTGGAAGGCCTCCAGGAACCGGTGACTCACGGTGCCCCAGGAGTGTCAGTGACGCATTGAAGGAGGTTTCCCAAGAAGCGACAGAGGAAATATCTTTTGCCCTCCACAACCTTGGAAGGCCTCTGAAGACAAGGCTCTTTCTGTCTTTCCCTTTGACTGGGTGATAGATTCGGATCAGCGTTGCAGCCCGCGTGGGGTCGGGGATCACTTTCTGAAAACAAGTTGCCCACTTCCTACAGGTAGAGACACAAACTGCGGGGCGGGGGCGGGGATGAGTAAGGATGAAAGGGATGGGGTGGTGTAGGACCCCCTTCTTCTTTTGAACAGGCCCTGGTGGGCTCCACACCTGCAGGCTACTTCCCACTGAGAGGAAGGGGATGGGGGGAGGGGGGAACACCAGTGCTGCTCCCAGACCCATTAAGGTCCACAGAAAAACACACCAAGGGAAGTACTATAGATGTTCTCCTTCAGGGCAGAGAACCCAGGCTCCCCTAAGGTTGCTGGAGTGCAGACCACCCCCGCCACTAGCCTAGCCCCATATGAACTTCCAGACAAGTAAATGCAATTGGAAATGTAGCTTGCCCAAAGTCTGCAGCTGGTAAAGACCCAGACTGTGCTGTTTGGCCACCTCAGACCTGCCTCACCGTCATTTCCATGGTTCAGATTTTTAAAATTTATGAATAAATCTTTCATTGGTGGATATTTGTGTTGATTCCAATTTCTTCTTATAACAATGGCCAGAGGTTCTTTTTTCCAAACTTTTAATTGCTTTTTCCCCAACTACGAAAGTAATACATGATGTAAAAATTCACACAAGGAACTGTAGAAAGCAGAAGTGAAAATTCCCCAGAGTAACTGCCATTAACAGCTGAGAGTAAATCCTTACAGACCTTTTCCTGTACATATCCAAACAAATATACCCAGAGGCCTTGATTTATTATGAGAGAAGAAAGATCAAATCTGCAGAACAATATTAGAAGATTTAATTTTCTATATTCTCTATGTTATGTATTATATTTGCAAGATTTCAATTTTATGTTTTAAAAAATATGGGAAGAAAAAAAACCAGGAAACTTTTTTTAGAAAAAAATTTATTTTTGAGACAAGGTCTCACTCTGTTGCCCAGGCTGGAGTGCAGTGGCATGATCACAGCTCACTGCAGTCTCAAACTCCTGGGCTCAGGATATCCTCCCACCTCATCCTCCCTAATAGCTGGGACTACAGGCAAGCACCACTGTGCCCTGGAAAATTTTTAAATTTTCTTGGAGAGTCAAGGTCTCAAACTCCTGAGCTCAAGTGATCATTCGGTGTGGGCCTCCCAAAGTACTGGGATTACAGGCATGAGCTATCATCCCATGTGCTGGCTAAAGAAACTTCCAAATACCAAGTTTGCACATTTCTACAATGTTCTGTACTTGGATTTTAAAAACTCTCTTTCTTGAAGTAGAATTTACATCTATATCCATAGCTATAAAGTCAACATGTCCTAGTGTACAGCTTGATGACTTTTTCTAACGAAACACACTCATGCAAGTGACTCCCAGATTGAGAAGCAGAAACGCTCACCTTCAAACCTCATGCTCCCTCTTAATGACCCACCACTGGACTAAGGATAACTGTATCCTAACTTCTAACAACATATATTTGTTTTGCTTGTTTTCTTCTGTGCTTGAATTTTAACAGTGACCACATATTGCACCATGTATTGTATTAAGAATAATCTATACAGATGTTTTAAAAATACACGCATTTGCCATAACCATCATTTGATATCAGCATATATGGATCTAGCTCATTCCTTAGTAGCTGCCTAAACCCCCTTATTAGACTGTATCTGAATTTATCTGACCAGTCCCTTTTGATGAACATTTGGATTATTTCCCATTTTTAGCTAGTAAGCAGCGCTAGAAGGAACAATCCGATGCATATTTCTTTGTGCATACCACTTTTTGATGTGTTTCTTTTAGATAAATGCCAACAGTGGAATTGGTAGTCAAAAGACAGCTGGATGGAGTTTGGGGGGCATATTTCATCATAACGGCCCTATAGAATGTAGTAGCAGCTCAGTTCCTTCTTCAAAACAAAAGTCAGGTGCTGGGTGCAGACCTTCTCACCGCAGCCCCCGCCATTGGCAGCCTAGCCTGCTCTAGCTCCCTGGGCAGCCGGAGTTGAACCCGCCTTGGCAGGTGCCTGCTGCACAGAAAACTGACAGAGGAGCGCAAACCACCCCTGCCCCCAGCCCAGCCCCATGAGAACTTGCAAGCAAGTACGTGCAATTGCAAAGACAGCAGCAGGGAGACGGTCAAATTTCAAAGCCTGCAGTGGGACAAGGGACCTTGCGGCCTGTTCTTACTTCCGCTGCGCACTGGGTGTGAGCCTTCAAGAGGGCAGACCGCGTGCACTGCAGGCCTTAGTCTCTTATTTATTTGTGATGGCCCGGATGAGGAGCCCACCTGAAACATGAACCCTAGAGGAGTCTGGTCCAGCTGACCCCAGTTCTTTCACCCCTCGCCTCAGCCTTGGAAGGCAGCCTGTCCCTTGTCCTCAGAGCTGATAGGCAGAGCTTTTGCTTCTTTTGAGCACCTCCTGCTGAGGCAGGAGACTAGGTTCTGGGGGCAGGGAATCTAAGGCCAATTCGTGCTGACTCAAGGAGAAACACCTACGTCTGGGGGCAGGGAATCTTGAGGCCAATTTGTGCTGATTTCTCAAAGCTGGATCAAAAGGAAAACACCTGGGTCTGGGGGCAGGCCATCTAAGACCAATTAACGTAAACCAAAAGGAAAAACCCCATCTCCCCACACTGAGTAACCAAGGATCAAAGGCTACTCTCTCTACAACCCTCCCGCTTCCACCTTATCTCAGACAGGGAGACTGTCCTGGATTGACCCCAGGCCAAGCACGAGCCATCCCTTCATCCACATAGGGCATCAATTCACCTCAGCCTTTCATTAGCCACGGACCAAATCCTTCATCTAGTTAAGGGGTAGCCGACAGGGATCTCAAAAGGGTACTTAAAACCCAGAAAACCTTGCAATTGGGACCATGGGCCGCCTGCTTAGGGCCCACTTCCACCCTGGGGAGTGCTTTCTCACTTCAATAAATTCCTGCTTTTGCTGCTTTTATTTCTTTATGACTTTGTGTGTTTTGTCCAATTCTTTGTTCAAAATGCCAAGGACCTGGACAACTTACACTCAAGGCCCTCCTTCCGGTAACACTGCATCTATGCCCTTCTAACTCCACCCACCACACCTCGTGCTGCTGCGACCGCACCCCAGATGCCCGGAGAAGGCCACACTACCCCCTCCCCAGGTTGTCTTTCCTTTCCTGGTTTTTTGGTAACATTTCTTACATTCTGTGGCTGCCACAGGTCTCTGAACATAACCTGATTTGTCAATGCCCTTCTTTGAGCTGGCCAGGAAAAGCAGGTGAGGCGGGATTCTCCTTGGTCCTGGACATGGTACTTCTGTTAATGCAGCCTCAGGTTGCAGTGTTTTATGGTGCAATAGCTCCTAGGCTGCTAAAGCTCAGGCAGGGGGCGGCTAAGATGGGACTCAGGCACTTTTTCAAACCCAGGAACGAGGTCCTGCTCTCCACTCTCCACTCCTGCTCATCACCTTCTCCTTGCTTTTTCCTTGTCCAACAGTTAAGGCCAAGAATCAATAAGAAAATGAAGGGACATGTGACAGAACCCCTCATGCCTCCTACCGTCTCTTTGATGCTTGACTTGAGGCCAGGGATCCCTGGGGTTCATCCCACAGTAGAAATGAACAAGTGCTAGTTCAGCTTGGGAGTGGGCCGGGAGATGGGCCCGAGGCACCTGAAGCCTGGCTCTGGTGCCCTGGGCACTTCCTAGCCTCTTTAGGACTCTCTACACCTACAATGTTGGGCAAATGAGGATCTCAGGTGTAACAGGAGGATGTACAAATTTTATCCTTATGGTTTCTGTTCCACTGAGCATTGATGTCTTGGCTGTAGATGGGCTTCTACACATTTATGCCACAGGAGCCATTTGTTATCTTTAACCTGGGACTTTATTTGTACAACTAAGACATTTGTATAAAAAGAGCAGAAAATGAAAGAAGAATTAAGCCATGGGAGAGTAGAAATGGGAGCCGAGAAACTGACAAGTGGAAGATGAAGTGAACTCCTATCCTCAAACCCGCAAGTTCCCAGCCCCAAAGGAAGCCCTCAGAGACTGACATGGCTTCTGGGAACTGGACAGCCCCTCTCAGCAAGCTTCATTCCCAACCTGCGCCTGGCCTCTCTGTGAGGAAGGTCAGCCCCAGCCTGGGAAGACCAAGACGGAGCCAGCCCAGTATCACCCCATGAAAGACCCAGGACCCAATGTTACTGCCCTACCAGGGCAAAGCAACTTGCAAAGATGGTGGCTAAACAGCCACCACTAAAGGTCCCAGCTCAGGGAAGGCACAGGAGCTGGAAGCGGTGGCATGGGCGGCATTTCTTACGCAGTCCTCCAGCACACTCTGTGAAGTGCCCTGGGGGCAACGAAGCCTTCTCCCCAGTATTCCCGATGGCCCAGAACAAGTTGCTCCCATGCACGTCACACACAGAAAGGCCTTGCAGCAGTGAAAAGCAAGCAGCCAGTGAACTCTCCAGGGTCGAATGTGTCCCCTCTCTCCTTTTTCCACATCGCGCTCGTTACTGACCAATGTCTTTTTGTAGCAGGACACCAAAACCGTATTCTCTGCTCATTTGTAAAACCTGAAAACAACAGCAAGTTGTGAAACCACGTATTTTCAGGCAAACGATATTGAATTTCCTGTAACAGAGACAAATGGCAAATGAGAAAGCAGAGTTCTACTCCAAGTGGCCTGGGGCCGAGAGTTTTTTGTGAGTATGTTTCTAGGGCCCATGTTAGTCACTAAAAAGATTGTTAAGGCTAAAAAACAAACAAAACAAAACAAAACTGCAGCTCAAAGAACCGTGGCTTTGAATTGCGTTACTTCCTGTAGTACCTCTAAGATAATCTAAGAGAATCACAAATTTATATCAAGGGGCCAGAAGAAATTACCCTGCGGATGGGATGATTTTCTAAGGACAGTTAGAGGCTGGGGAACAAGGACCTCAAATCGCAACTCAGATCTGTGAGCACCAGGGGTTATTTCCTCCGCGCCTGGATCATGAGAGGATAACCAGAGGTGCTTTTCAAACTTTTTAAAAGTCACAAACCCTTTTGTTCAAATGACATGTTACAGGTAAGTGTAAACCCAGACAATAGAAAAGAGTATCTGTTTGAAATGAAGAGAGTGAAGAGGGCTCAGGGTCCCCCCATGACCACCCAGTGCCCCTTCCCTGCCTCAAGCTGATCCTGGGCTTGCGAAAGCATGAGGTCCTGCATCTAGCACCCCAAAAACTGGCATCAGATCACTGGGGAGCAAGTTAAAATGAAGGGATGGGGACAGACCCAGACCACAGTTAGTACCCAGAGAGGGGCTTATTTTACATGAAAGGTCACCATGGGAGAGATTTTGAGTGGAACTTTCTCTTTTTGAGATAGAGTTTCACTCTCATTGCCCAGGCTGCAGCGGAATGGCGCGATCTCTTCTCATTGCAACATCTGCCTCCTGGGTTCAAGTGATTCTCTTGCCTCAGCCTCCCAAGTAGCTGGGATTACAGGTGCCTGCCACCATGCCCAGTTAATTTTTTGTATTTTTAGTAGAGATGGGGGTTTCACCATGTTGGCTAGGCTGGTCTCAAACTCCTGACTTCAGGCGATCTGCCTGCCTTGGCCTCCCAAAGTGCTGGGATTACAGGCGTGAGCCACTGCACGCGGCCTTGAGTGGCACTTTCTAGAGGTCTGGCCTGAGACAGCTATACTCAAGTTATTATCTCTTGGGTAGGGGGCAGCTTCTAAATCCAACACACAAGGTGAAAATTGTACACAATTAAAATATCATTGAAAATTGCCCATAAAATCCAGCAGGCATGTTTCAGCAACTCTCGATATAAATATAATGTATACGACAATGCAGAGCATATCATAATATGAATGTATGTGGCTATTTACCATTTTAGAGTATTTAAAAATACATTTTGTTTGTCCGTTGTTGCACTTGCAGAATTGAAGTCAATGAAGTGACCTGAGTTTGTGCTCTGACTCCAGGGGCCTGGGGCCACATGCTTTAAGGATAGTACCCCAGAGAGTCCTCACACTGACCGTGAGATTGGCACTGTTAGCTCATTTTACAGACGAGAAGGTAAAGTGACTCGCTGACTGTCACATGGTTGGTGACTGGCAGATGGGATTCAAACCCAGCTCCGTCTCCGCCTAAAGCCAGAGCTCTCGAGCAAGAGACCCTGTTGCTCTCTTCAATTTAGAGGTGTGTACTTTTGCTCCCCCAAACATTTCTATATAGAGAGGGTTGCTCTGAGGAGCAAATGTAATTAACTGGATAGGCAGATGTGAAACAGTCTCTGTTTTGAGGAACAAAAATCAAATGCAGGAATGCTGCCCCCGGCCCACGATGGCTTCCAACAGCCTCATGAAAGACCAAGTACATAATGTCGCTGCCCTACCAGGGCAAAGCAACTTGCAAAGGTGGTGGTTAAATGGCCACCACTAAAGGTCCCAGCCCACCCCAGGGAAAGTATAGGAGCTTTCTCAGCTCAGTGGGTCCCAAGAGTGTAATGTGACTCTGCCAACTCCTGGGACCCAGATGGGGTCGAGGGCGGCAGGTGGGACAAAGGCAGCTCCTAAGGAAGGAAAGCAATGGCTGGTGGAAGAGGCTAGTCTTCAAATCCGATTCCAGTAGTCTCTCCATTTATCTGTAAAATGAGGGTGATAACCCCTTATCTCACACAGAACCGAGGGGATGAAATAATAGGGGGGGATGAAATAGTAGGTGGGATGAAATAACAGATGGGATGAGTTTGGGATACCCTGTGGTATTCTGTGCATGCAAAGCCTGATTGCTCTCCTCAGGAGAGCTAAGAATGTTCTTGAAATACATTTAAGTTATTGGTCAGGTTTTTGTTTGTTTGTTTGTTTGTTTGTTTGTTTAGGTTATCTCTTCGGTTCCTGAATTCTATTATCTCATCTATTTATACAGTGTGTGACTTTTTTTTTAGATGGGGTCTCGCTCTGTTGCCCAGGCTGGAGTGCAGTGGTACCATCATAGCTCACTGCAGCCTTGAGCTCCCGGGCTCAAGTGATCCTCCTGCTTCAGCCTCCTGAGTAGCTGGGACTACAGGTGTGTGCTACCATGTCTGGCCGAGTCTATGATCTTTGGAAGATGAGGTCTGACTTTGGGTCCTTGCTGCAGATAGAGGCTGCAAGCTGCAGCTGGGGCTGAGGAACCCAGGGCCACGCCCAGGTCACACACTTACTGTTTGATGAAACGAAGCCGGGCTCTCCTCCGCCGGCCTGGAAGAGGAAAGCAAGGGAGCCAGTCAGTGTGGGCTGTGGGTCACTGCACTGAGCCCCAGAGGCCAAGTAGGATGGTCACAGGGGCAGCTGACACCTCAGCCCACCTCCCTGGTCCCAGACCCTGGCCCAAACACTTTACACATTTCAATCCCCTTAATGCTTACTGAAAACCTGAGTTGGATACTACTTTTAAGATCTCCATTTAATTTGTGGAGAAACTGAAACACAGAGTGAGTTACCGGATAACATGCCCAAAGTCATGCAGCTAGTAAGTGGGAAAGCTGGAATTCAAACTCAATTAATCAGCCGCAGAGTCTGTGTCCTTAAACACACCTGCTCGCCCTTGACAGCAGGTCAGACACGAAAGTTCCCACACACAGGCAGTCTCAGGCCTGGGCAAGTGCACTCACAGGGCGAGATTTGCCACTGGGAGTAGGAGGAAAATAAAAGCATATCTATTTACATTTGTATCTCAGCCTTTATTACTTTTGATTTTTATTTATTTTTTTAGAAATGCGGTCTTACTATGTTGTCTAGGCTAGACTTGAGCTCCTGGGCTCAAGTGATCGTCCCTCCTCAGCCTCTCGAGTATGGGCACTTGCCCCTATATCCAGCTTACTTTTTATTTTTGAAACATATTTAATAACATGCATTTAATAACATTACACACACAAAATATGAAATAAGTAAATCCAGCCAACTGCTGCTGTATTCGCTTATTTAACATTTTATGCCTGTCACTAAATGTGCTTCAAAATATTTTACCAATGAGGTCCTTCCTTGATCAAAAGAGTTTGCAAGCCACTGAAATTTATGGGGTTCTTAGAATGGGGTACATTGACCCCTTGGTGGGGAAGAATTTGTAGGCAAAAGTATGCACCTGGGTGCATTTCTGTGCGGAGAGGTCCATTATTTTCATCGTATGTTCAAAGGGGTCTGTGACCTACAAAAGTTAAGAGCCACTGATCTAGTTCATGCCCCTGCTGTCCCACCTGCCCATTTTATAGAAGCGCAGAGAGGGGAAGGGGCTTGCTCAAGGTGGCACAGGTGAGCTGAAGAACCGGGGTAGACTGTGGGCTCTGGGCTCTAGGGCAGCCATGCACCTCTCCTCCGGCTCCCCGTCTTTCTTGTGAACCCAGTGCTGTGCAGAGCTTGGGGTGGGGGCCATAGAAGGAGACAGTCCCGTCTCTGGGGTGGCTGGGAGCAGCAGTCATTTCTGAGTTTCCGACAGCCTCATCAATATTGGTGGCGTAGAGAGGATTTCTAGCTTTCAGCAATGCAACACAAACCCCACAGGCAATCTTTTTTTTTTTTTTTTTTTTTTTGAGATGGAGTCTTGCTCTGTCGCCCAGGCTGGAGTGCAGTGGCGTGATCTCGGCTCACTGCAAGCTCCGCCTCCTGGGTTTACGCCCACAGGCAATCTTTTCTGGGCACTGGGCTTTGGTCTCAACTGCTCACATGAGTTCCCACTTACTGACACGTGCCGGGTGCCAGGCATTTGGGGCAGGAATTTACAAGCAGCAACTCTGGGAGGTAGGTAATGTCCTACGCCCATCTGAGGCAGCCAAGGCTCAGAGAGACCAGGGTACTGGATCGGGAAACAGCCACATTGCACTCAAACCCAGGTTTGTCTGACTCCAGGGACAGGGTGGTCTTTGGTTTTGGCTGTGTAGCCCCAGATCAAGAACGACCTCCAGAAATACCATAGGTTCTCTGAGGCACATTCCCACCAGGCTGCCAACTGCTCTGCTCCACTAGAGAAGTAAGTATCCCAGGAGCACTTCAAACAGCAAACAGGGACACCCGATGACCCAAGAGGAGACAACTCACAGTACAGGTGGATGGCCACTCCCAGGGAAACCAGCAAAACCAGAACGCCAGCCACCAGCAGGCCGAGGGTGATGGGGCTACAAAGTGGGCCTGGAAAAAACACACGTGACATGTGTTCAACACTGAACATTTTTCTGCATAAGACACGCAGAAAAATATAAGGAGGAAAAAAAATCAAGTGGAAGTCCCACCTCCCAGAGAATACCACTATTTGCATTTTGATATAATGTATTTTTCCTCAAGTTTTTTTTTTTTTGTTTGTTTTTGTTTTTGTTTTTGAGACAGAGTTTTGCTCCGTCACCCAGGCTGGAGTGCAGTGGCGTGTTCTCAGCTCACTGCAACCTCCGCCTCCTGGGTTCAAGCGATTCTCGTTCTTAGCCTCCCAAGTAGGTGGGATTACAGGTGTGTGCCACCATGCCCGGCTAATTTTTGTATCTTTAGAAGAGACAGGGTTTTACCATGTTGGCCAGGCTGGTCTCAAACTCCTGGCCTCAAGCAATCCACCCACCTTGGCCTCCCAAAGTGATGGAATTACAGGCGTGAGCTACCATGTCCGGTCATCGTCTAGTCTTTGTAAGCACTTTAAACATCATTGAAATCATTTTATATATAAAATTTCATGTCCCACATCCAAATTTTTGAGAGGTAGACAATTTTTATTCCTGGTAATGAGTCCTTTACTATTTATGTTTAAAACTTTTAATTTCACAAGAAATAGCTGAATATATTTTCATTGTAAGAGATTTAAATATAGGATTAGAGTGCTTGCTGACATCTTTGCTCCTTCACAGAATTAATCACCATTGATAATTTAGTAACTTTCTCTTTCCATGCCTATGTAATTTTTATAGATACATATACGGTGTATTTGTTTGTTTCTTTGTTTGTTTTGACACAGAATCTCACTCTGTCGCCCAGGCTGGAGTGCAGTGGCGCAATCTTGGCTCACTGCAACCTCCGCCTTCTGGGGATTCAAGCGATTCTCCTGCCTCAGCCTTCCAAGTAGCTGGGATTACAGGCGCTCACCATCATGCCCGGCTAATTTTTGTATTTTTAGTTGAGATGGGGTTTCACCATGTTGGCCAGGATGGTCTTGATCTCCTGGCCTCAAGTGATCCACCCGCCTTGGCCTCCCAAAGTGCTGGGATTACAGGTGTGAGCTACCATGCCCGGCCTTAAATACATATAGTATTTTAAAATATATGCAGCAGATTATACTGTACAAATTGTTCTTTTGTATCTTCACTGTTTCAACGTGCCTTTTTTCCTTCACTTAATCAATGTGTTCTTTTTTCCAACAGAGTAACGTCTGACAGTATGGATGTATCATGAGTTACTCGTCATCAGTGGGCATTTTTTGTCGTTTCCTGTGTTTTACTTTTACAAATAACTCTGCAGAAAACATCATGTGTATTTCCTTACAAAGATGCCTTCCTGAGGTAAATACTGAGAACGGGAGCTACTAAACCACAGACTTTGCCCATTTTAAATTGTGACAGATGCTGTCAAATGCCTCTCTAAAAGGTGGCACTGACTTCTGTCCCCACCCACCAATAGTGCACCCTGCTGACCATTGATATCATCAAAATGTTTTAGTTTTTGCCAGTCAAGTGGGGGAAAATGTTATTTCACTTAAATTCCCTCATTACTTACAAGCTTTGGTCTGTTTTCATATATTGGGAACTTGTATGATTTTTCTTCTATGAGTTGACTATCTGTTCCTTTGTCCATTTTGTGTGCTAAACAGCACACTTTACACTATCAATGCCCCAAATCCTTCTCTGACACCCTTCAGGCCCCTGTGGCTGGTCCCTCGAGTAGCTGAGGGGCAGAGCCAGGGCCCATGGGTGAAAGGGCAAGGCTGCAGATTTGGGCTTGAGGTTCAGAAAATCGGAAAGCATCGTGGATGTCAAGGAAGAGAGAGAATTTTTACTGAATACGTATGTGCTAAGTACATACTAAATGCAAACTCCCATCTTGTGAGGAAGAAAGGTATTGGCATTTTTTTATTTGCATTTATTTATTTATTTTATTTTTTTGAGACAGAGTTTTGTTCTTGTTGCCCAGGCTGGAATGCAATGGCGAGATCTGGGCTCACCGAAACCTCCACCTCCTGGGTTCAAGCGATTCTCCTGCCTCAGCCTCCTTAGTAGCTGGGATTACAGGCACCCGCCACCATGCCCGGCTAATTTTTGTATTTTTAGTAGAGACGGGGTCTCACCATGTTGGCCAGGCTGGTCTCGAACTCCTGACCTTAGGTGATCTGCCTGCCTTGGCCTCCCAAAGTGCTGGGATTACAGGCATGAGTCACTGTGCCCGGCTTGCCATTATTTTTATCTCTCATTTCACAGTTCAAAAACAAAAACAACATTCAAAAAGGTTAAATTATATGCCCAAGGTTACCCAGCTACTAAAATGCAGGACCAGGGTGTGGACACAGATCCTTCGAGTTCCAAGCCCCTGTGGGTCCCACCTCAGTTGCATGAGGGCATGAAAGGTATGGGAGGGAAGAGAGGTGGCTGCTACACGGGAGGGAGCCCACTGTCACTGGAGGGGAACCAGCCAAGGCTGGATCGCTGGGATGTGGAGAAGAGATTCACACACTGGGTGGGAGGCTGGATGAGTGGCCCCTCTGAGATGCTGAGGGCATCTGCTGGGCTCCCTCTCACCTCCTTTTTGTTCCCCCAACCTGGATGAACCTCAAAACACGGTGCTAAGTGAAAGAAGTCAAGCAGGAAAGAGCCATGGTGTGCGATTTCACTTCTACGAAATGTCCCTGAGAGGCAAATCTGCAAAGGCAGATGGTAGATTAGTGGCTGCCAGGGGCTGGGAACAGGGATGAGCTGTGAACAAGCACTGGGAATCTTACTGGGCTGATGGAAACCTTCTAAAACTAGATTATGGTAATGATTGCACAACTTGGTAAATTTACCCAAAATCATTGAGTTTGTATGCTTAAAGTAGGTGAATTTTGCAGTGTGCAAATTATATCTCAACTAAGGTTTTGTTTTTGTTTTTTGTTTTTTTGAGATGGAGTCTTGCTCTGTCACCCAGGCTGGAGTGCAATGGCTTGATCTTGGCTCACTGCAACCTCTGCCTCCTGGGTTCAAGCAATTCTCCCGCCTCAGCCTCCTGAGTGGCTGGGATTACAGGCACCCACCACAATGCCTGGCTAATTTTTGTATTTTTAGTAGAGACAGGGTTTCGCCATATTGGTCAGGTTGGTCTCGAACTCCTGACCTCAGGTGATCCGCACCCCTCCCCTACCGCCTCCCAAAGTGCTGGGATTACAGGAGTGAGCCACCGCACCCGGCTTAACTAAGTTTTTAAAAACTGTAATGGAGGTGGGTGCAGGTCACAGGGATGTACAGGGCAGCTGGGCTTCTTCCTGAGAAGAGGTCATGGTTAAGACCACTGTGGAGGCCAGCGATGTAGCTATAGGTCTCCTCTGAAGCATGGTCTCCCATCCAAAATGTGACTTTCCAGGAAAAGCTGCTGCCACAAATAACGTGCTTGGGTAAGGGGCTGTTCGACAGATCCACACCAGCGACACCCCCAGCCCAGCCTTCCTCATCTTGCTGGGGCCTCAGGGTCTCCTGAGCTCTGGATTCACACTCCGCTCCTGAGTCCGTGGTTTAGAAATGGTCCCCCAGCACCTAAGGGTGTTGTCTCAGAAACAGCCCTAAGCCTCATGGGCGACCCCTTCTTAGTGGCCCTATGGGTTTCATTCATGATAATAGGCTTTGAGGTCTGTGTGAATGCCCCCACAAGCTCTTAGTGCCTGGTGTATAATTACATCTCATTTAATCCTGCATCCCCATTTCACAGACGAGGAAACAGAGGTTCATAGAGGCTGAATCATCTATTCAATGTCTCATAGTACAGGTAGTGGTAGACAGAGATTCAGACCTAGGCCTGTCTGACTTGCCACTAGGCTACACTGACCCAGGGCCGCTCTCCTCAGTATAACATCCACCTACTTTCCCCACACCCATCCTCAGCCCCACTCCACTTGGCCACCTTCACACACATCCGGGTTATTCTTAATAACTTATTAATGTTTGGTATGCGTTTTGCCATGGGATTTTACTGAGGGTTGGTACAAGAAACGATGCAAGAGGCCAGGCACAGTGGCTCACGCCTGTAATCCCAGCACTTTGGGAGGCCAAGGCAGGTGGATCACCTGAAGTCAGGAGTTCAAGACCAGCTTGGCCAACATGGTGAAACCCTGCCGCTACTAAAAATACAAAAATTAGCCAAGCTTGGTGGTGGGCACCTGTAATCCCACCTACTCCAGAGGCTGAGGCGGGAGAATCACTTAAATCTGGGAGGTGGAGGTTGTAATGAGCTGAGATCACACCACTGCACTCCAGCCTGGGCAACAGAGTGAGACTCTGTTTCAAAAAAAAAAAAAAAAAAAGAAAAGAAAGAAAGAAAAGAAATTATGCAAGAAATCTGAAGCGCTTTGTTTTTGCCATCATTTATAAAAGTATGACTGAGTGCGCCGTCATTCAGCTGTCCTTACATGAAGATGAAGGGGGCAGATTGCTCCTAGAATTTAGCACTAGGATGGAAGTTTCTTCTTTTGGTGCCAGGTTGTTTCTTTCTATCACCGGGGTTGGGGTGCTATACAACTCGGGGTCTTCCCTTTGTTTAAACTGATGTTGCTGGGTTCTCCAGAGCCGTAGTACACAACCAGTTCTTGCACCCTCATCTTAGTGGCTCTATTGTATTTGCATTTTATATCCTTTTTATTGTAGTCTGCCTGAAATCATTTAGGTGAAGGGGTCAGGGCATGGGACTTTATAAAATAAGGTCACTCTTAAGCTCCTTAAGACTTTACTCTTCTGTACATTGGTTCTGATTTTCTTTTTACTGTGACCTCATGTGATGGCAACTTGCCACCCCGGTCTCCCAGATCCTATTCAGTACCCTCCTCGATAATTTCTGGTACAAAGACAAAGCGAACTGAGCAGTGCGAGGCAGTGCTCCTGGGGCTGCTTGTGGTTTGTTCTCTGGGTAGCAGCAGATGGCACTTTCTGTTTGTCATCAGTGGCTTTTGCTGGGCTGAGGTCAGTATTTTTCCAGAAACACGTTTGGGCTGATGGGTTTAAGGAAAGCGTGTGCGTGGGCATGTGTGTCTGTGTGTGTGTGTATGTGCATACACTCCAGCTGAGGTGTCTGGTGTAGCATAGAGAAGCAAATGTGTTCATTTGCAAACAAGCATGTATTCATGAACAAGCACATACTGTGTATTAGGTCCTCTGTTAGGTATTAAAACTGGAAACATTTTTTTTTGAAACAGGGTCTGGCTCTATCACCCAGGCTGGAGTGCAGTGGCAGGATCTTGGCTCACTTCAATCTCCACCTCCCAGGCTCAAGGCATCCACCTCAGCCTCCTGAGTAGCTGGGACTACAGGCATGTGTCACCACGCCCAGCTAATTTTTTAATATTTTCATAGAGACAGAGTTTCACCATGTTGCCCAGGCTGGCCTCTAACTCCTGAGCTCAAGGTGATTCGCCCATCTTGGCCTCCCAAAGTGCTAGGATTACAGGTGTGAGCCACCACATCTGGCCAAAACTGGAAAAGTTTAAAGTGCTGGTCCTTTGAGTAGATTTTTTGTTTGTTAACAGCTTTATTGAGTTATAATTTAGATATAAAGTCTCCTTGTTTAAAGTGTACAATGTCATGATTTTTAGTGTATTCATGGAGTTGTGCAACCATTTCCATAATGTAATTTTAGAACATTTAAATTCCCTTAAAAAGAAACCTTATATCCATTAGGAATCACTCCCCATTTCTTTCCCAAGCCCCCAGCCTTAGGCAGCCACCAATCTACATTCTGTCTCTACAGAGGGTCATATGTTGAATATTCCATAATCATGGAATCATATAGTATATGGATTTTTGTGACTGGCTTCTTTCACTTTATTCTTTATTATGGCCAAACAATATTCCACGATAATAAATATACCATATTTTGTTAATCTATTCATTAGCTGGTGGATGTTTGGGTAGTTTCTACTTTTGGCTAGTATGAATAATGAAGCTGTGGGCATTTGTGTGCAGGTGTGTGGGTGGATTTTGCCTCCATTAAGCTTTGTCCAGTAACAGTTTACGAGTCTGTCTCCCATGAGACTGTGAGTTGCTGTCACACTCAGCATCCTTTCTGACCCTAGCTTGGGCCAGGGAGATAGGCTCTAGAGTTAACACTTGGAAAGTGCCTGGGGAAGGAAGGAGGGGAGGGAGGGAGGGCGAGAGGATGCCTGCCTTGTTTCTGAGGGTGCAGAGGGGTAGGGAACTCACCTTTCTGGGTCGCTGGCCTGGGTAACCGGCACCCTCTCTTCTTGGGGGTGGACTTCTTGGTGGGCTGGGCAGTGGTGGGAAGGAAATCAACTACAGAAAGAAAGCAAGACACATATCTTAGCCAGGTGAACACCAGGTGGACTCAAAGATAAAACTTTGACTTGTGGCCGGGCGCGGTGGCTCATGCCTGGAATCCCAGCACTTCCAGAGGCCAAGGCGGGAGATCATTTGAGCCCGGGAGGTTGAGACCAGCTTGGGCAACATGGTGAAACCCCCTCTCTACAAAAAATAAAAAGTTTAGCCAGGCTTGGTGGCACATGCCGATAGTCCCAGCTACCCAGGAGGCTGAAGTGAGAGGACCTCCTGAGCCTGGGAAGTCAAGGCTGAAGTGAGCTGTGATCACGCAACTGCACTCTGGCCTGGGTGATGGAGCAAGACCCTGTCTCAAGAACAAACGAATGAACAAATGAACAAAATTTGTCTTACATCCAAGTACTAAAGTCCTTATGACTGTTCCCCAGGCTGCTACAAGGCCTGAAGGACACATAGCAGTAGAATATTTGATCTGCTTTCTCAGTTCTCAGATGTTGGGAAAGGGGTGGGGGCCTAGGGATGGGGTTCAGTTTGGTGTCCTGGAGAGAGGAAGCCACACAGACCTGAGCAGAGCCTACATCTTTGATTTTTTTTTTTTTTTTTTTTTTTTGAGATGAAGTCTCATTCTGTAGCCCAGGTGGAACACCGTGGCACGATCTTGGCTCACTGCAACCTTTGCCTCTTGGGTTCAAGTGATTCTCCTGCCTCAGCCTCCATAGTAGCTGGGATTACAGGCACGTGCCACTGCACTCGGCTAATTTTCTGTATTTTTAGTAGAGATGGGGTTTCACCATGTTGGCCAAGCCGGTCTTGAACTCCTGACCTCAGGTGATCCACCCGCCTTGGCCTCCTGAAGTGCTAGTATTACAGGCACGAGCCACTGCTCCCAGCCGACCTACACCCCTGATTAACCACTGTGTGATTTGGGACAAGTCATAGTACTTTTCTGTGCCTTGATTTCCTCATTTGCTGAAATAATGATAATTGCCACCTCCTTCTTAGGATTATCTGAGAATTAAAGGGACAGTGTGTCCAAAAAAAAAGGTTCAGTAGACGTGGCTCCACCTGGCCGAAGACCTTGCGCCCCAGGGCTGGATCGCCCAGCCTTTGGCACAACCAGACCCTCCGCCCAACTCGGCAATCTCTAAGCACGTGGAGGAAGCTCATGGAAGAGAGGGTTGCCCTTTTCTGCATGTACAGTACCAAGCAGGTGTCATATCTGGGGATTTGTTTTCCTTCTCAGGTGACCCTAAAATATATATATAATATCAGAGCTAGGAGAACTTCAGTCTCCAACTTTAATTTCAAAGGTGAATGCCAGAGACAAGGGGAGCTGGCCCCTGCAGCCCCAAGTGGTGAGTGCTGTGTTGGGACCCCAAGCCCCTGTCCTGACTCCTGGATGGGTCACCCCTCTCCTTCATTCTAACCCACTGACCCCTGCTGAAGTGTTGGGAGAGAGCAGCAAGCTGGCACCCAGAACAAAGGAAGACAGCTGTGGCTCTGACGCCTGCGGGGGATGAAAGGGGCGCTGCTGGCCACGGAGTCCAACCCTTGCCTGTGTGGGTTGAGGAAACAGACCCCTCTGCACTGATTTTCTCCAAAATGGTAGAAGAGGGAGTAAGAAGACACCTAAGCTCTAGGTTCAGGGGGACAGAAAAAAAAAAAAAAGAAAGAAAAGAAATATTAAAGCTGGGTGCGGTGACTCACACCTATAATCACAGCACTTTGGGAGGCCTAGGCGGGTGGATCACCTGAGGTCAGGAGTCCAAGACCAGCCTGGCCAACATGGCAAAACCCCGTCTCTACTAAAAATACAAAAATTAGCTGGATGTGGTGGCACGTGCCTGTAATCCCAGCTACTTGGGAGGCTGAGGCAGGAGAGTCACTTGAACCAGCGAGGCACAGCTTGCAGTGAGCCGAGATCATGCCACTGCACTACAGCCTGGGTGACAGAGTGACTCCGTCTCAAAAAAAAGGTTGAGGGGTGGGGAGACAGGCAGGGGAAGCCCACAGATCAGTCATTTTTGGGCTGGCATCTTCTATATAAAAGTAGACATTTTAGCCCCTCACCTCTCTGAGCCTCCTCTGAAAAGTGGAGAAAACACGCTGTTTGCTTCAAGACATTGACGGGAAGAAGCAACTAGAATGAACGTGCACTAAGCTCCAACCATGTGCAGGGAGCAGTGCTGAGCTTTTCCACGTAAGTTTACTGAACCCAACAACTTTTGGGGCAGGCACTATTGTCCCCATTTTATCCAGGAGGAAGCCTAGGCTCAGAGAGCTGAAATGATGTGCCCAAAGTTAGACAGCCACAGGCTGCTGAGCCAGGATCTGCACCAAAAGACCTTGATTCTAGAACCTGTGCTGCTCATTCTGCCACACTACCTCACGTACAAAGGTTTTCTGACAAAAAGTTGAACGCTTTAGGTCCACCCAAGGCCCTGGGTCATCAGAGTGTCAAGGGCAACTGTTGTAAGAGGAAAACTGTCATCAGCAGGGTCTTGGAGAGCATGCAAGGAGCCTGGCCTTCTGTTGGGAGTGTTGCCTCCTTTATTCCTCATGGCCCTAGAAGTAGTGCTGTTTGACTTATTTTCTATTCGACTTATTTTCTATTCGAGGAAGCAGGGATGTCTCCCAGATGGTCTGTAGTGAGCCGAGAGCGGAACCAGCTCTTTAGGCCCTCAGTGCCTTGGCTGGGTACCACAGCCTGGGTCTGGTGGGAGACTCAGGTTGGGGGACTGTTCTATTTTACATTCATCTTGCCTAGAGCCTGGTCACCCTGGATTCCTCCTGAGCCCCCAGTTTAATCTCTCCCTCTCCGTCCTTAAAAGGAATATAACTTTGAGCCCATGATATACTTAAGGGCCTGAAAAAGGCCCTGTCTTTCCCCAAACACTTTTTCAACCATCCCAGCTTTGTCCTCTAAAAGGCCTTTCTTGGGGGAGAAGCTGGGTTTTGGCTCTGAAGAAGGTCTCGTTGCAAGCCCTGGGGAGAAGCAGGTTTGGTTGCAAGCCAGCGCTGTAAGGAGGCATTGACATTCCTGCAGTGCTGGGAGGTGTTTGGGGTTTGGAAACACAGAAGTAAGGAGTGAGTGGGGTTGGGGTGGAGGCGGTGGGAAGCTCTGGAAACTAGCTGTGCTTATTCCACCCTCCACCTTCTCAGACCCCGAAATCTCATGAGTGGAAAGGTGTGGGGCTTACAGAGGCAAAAACAATAAGCCAACATCAAAACCCAAACCCCAAACCCCAAACTCCCAAACTCCCAAAGTCCATTTTTCAATACGAAAATCAGTGGACCCCACGCAAAGGGATGCCTCAGCTTCTTGCCTGCAATAGTCCCTCCAGGCTGGCAAGAGGTGGCGGGGCATCACTTTGGTTTGTGTCTTCCTAATCGTGCTGCTGTCCCCAGCTGCCCCTGCACTTCCTCACGCTGGGTGGTCTAATTTCTGGGTCTCCTTGTGGCTTTTAGTGCCCTCAGGTGAGCAGGAAGCAGGGCAGTGGGAGCCCTGGAGGGGGTTGGCTCCAGCCTTGGGCCAAGCTGGAGGTGGGGCTAGAGCCAGAGCCAGGTGGTGCGGGTTACCACACAATCCCTCCCCACCCATAGCTAAATGCCTTCTTTCCAATATGGTGGCCACTCACTGCAGGTGCTGCTGAGCACGTGAAATGTGGCCAGTCTGAATCGAGAGGAGCCGTACGTTTTATGTAAAATGCTCACTGAACACTTCGTATGAAAAATGAATGTAAAATATTTCAGCAATAACAGATGAAAATACAGTTAATAAATTGAGTTAAATATATTATTTAAATTAGTTTTACTTGCTTTTTGCTTTTTTAAACATGACTAAAAATTTAGAATTTCATCTGTGGCTTGAAATGTGTGTCTGCTGGACTTGCTGACTTAAGTCAGAGGTCTGCAGCTTCTCTGGGATTAAGTGGGTCATGCAGGCCATCAGCAGCCCCATGACACCGAAGAGAACATTGAGGCCCAGGGGAGAAAGCGTGGCAAGTTTGCAAGCAGAGCTGGGCCTGGCTGTCTCCTTACTACCTTCGACTCAGGTATGCGTTCCAGCCATAGACCCTCACAGAGAACATAAGGGTACCTGTCCCTCCACTGCCCCTAGAAATGCCCTCACTGGGTAGGTAAGTCAGGGCAATGAGGGCTTCTTCTCCCTGTGTGCACACTCTGTGGGGATTTCTAATACCACTATAGGGCCAAGGGACTCCGCCCAATCCAGCCGTAGCTTCGGATGTCCCTGATGTGGCCTGAAGGACAGCACTGCCCTGTCCACATAAGAAGCATAATGCCTGGCCAGGCATGGTGGCACACGCCTGTAATCCCAGCACTTTGGGAGGCTAAGGCGGGTGGATCATTTGAGGTCAGGAGTTCGAGACAAGCCTGGCCAACGTGGTGAAATCTCGTCTCCACTAAAAATACAAAAAATTAGCTAGGCATGGTGGCTCATGCCTGTAATCGCAGCTACTCGGGAAGCTGGGGCAAGAGAATCACTTGAACCCGGGAAGCAGAGGCTGCAGTGAGCCAAGATTGCACCACTGCACCCCAGCCTGGGCAACAGAGTGAGGCTCTGTCTCAAAAACAAAAAAAACAACAAAAAAGAGAAGCTTAATGCTCATCTCTGACTCTGATCCATCTCTTCCAGTTTCACCTTATTCCCATCTAAAGTGGTTAGGTAATAGACCTACCTTCCAGGGTGGTTGGCAGCATTAAGCGAGCTAGCTATGGAAACACTTGGAGGGGCTTGGCCTGGGTAAGTCTCCCCATGTACTTTCTGTCATTATCAGCAGCAGTGCCGTTAGTCACCGCTGCAGAGTGGGGCACACTGAAGCATGGTGGTCCCAGTGCCTGGCACGTGCCTGGTACACAATCGATGCTCAGTGCTCATTGATAGCATTGGGCCTGCTTCTTACCCACACTCAGCTGAGTTCCCTTTCCGAAGGTCAGCTCGGGGCTCCCGATGATCATGCAGAAGTAGATGCCACTGTCTTCCGGCTTCACGCTTGTGAGATTGAGAATGAACCGGCTTGCATCCCGAAACACAGCTATCTTCTCCTGTGCCACCTCTTCACCATGGACAGTCCCTTTTGTGGAATCCCAGAGGGCCAGGAACTCGTGGTGACTGTCACTGCTCGGGGCCTGGCGCTGTCTCAGCCAGTAGATGCGCATGTTACCGAGGGAGATTTTAGCCTCGCAGGACAGCATCGCCATTTTGTTGGTTTGCACCTGTATGTATGCGGGGGTCTGCTGGAGGACTGAGCTGCCACGGACAACTAGGAAAAGCCAAGAACAGAGACGTCACACATTTTCCTAGCCACAGTTGTGGGACCTCGCAGTCACACTGAGTCAGGTGTCAAAGAAAAAGCCGTGGAAGAACCTGCCCAGTTACTGGGTCCAGGGGCTGTACTGAGTGCAGCTATTGGCTCCTGGACTCAGAGCTCACAGACCCCACCTTCCAGGAGATCATCTGGAAGGCAGGTGTTTGCTAAGTTCAGCTTTATAAAAGTACAGGGGAGAGAGCTGCCATTTGTTTATTGAGTACTTATATGCCTGGCCCTTGCATAAAGGAACTCAATCAAGCCTCAAACTGGCTTTGGAATTTTTTAAGACATGGGGTCTTGTTATGTTGCCTAGGTTGGAGTGGAGTGGCTATTCACGGGCACTATCATAGCGCACTTCAACCTTGACTTCCTGGGTTCAATCTCTTCTCCCACCTCAGCCTCCCAAGTAGCTGTGACTATAGGCATGCACCACCACACAAGGATGGATTCAGGATTTTTAGTCCTCATTACACAGATGAGGAAACGGAGGCATGAAGTTATTTGTTCAGCCTAGGAGTGAAACTCAAGGATTCAAAGTCTGAAGCCAAAGCTGGTTGCCTTTTACCTCCCCTGACTGCCACTGGACATATAGCCCTTCGGTGGGCTCCAAACTGCCGAAGGAGACCCAGGACAGGCTGGGAGAGGAGCCCAGAATCACAGCAGAGCATGTGGCTAGCCTGTCCATTGCTGGACAGCAAGGGCAGACAGCAAAAAAGCTCACTGTCCCCTGGTAGGTACAATTATAGCCCATGACCCCCGAGCCCAGCTACCGATGGGTCACTGGATCCCTATTCCCCAGTGGAAGGACAGACACCCCAGAAGCAGGGCTGGGAGTTCATCTTAGACTCTGATGAGAAGCACCCGGCAAGCAGGGGCTTGTTCATGAGGAGCTAGAGCAGGACTCACAGACCCGGCCCTGAACCCAGCCTCTGGCCGTGCCAGCTGTGAGATCTCAGGCCAGTCACCGAGCCTCTGTCTTATGAAAGGAGGGCAGCTTGGTGCTGTTGTCCTGCCTGTCTCTGAGGGTTGGAAAGAAATGAAATGCTGTCCAAAAAAGCACACTGCAAACTGTATGGCCACGTACACAGGTAAATACTGTCCTGATGTCTCATATCACAGGGCTGTTACTGGAAGTCAATTAAATCTCAAGGAGAAGGATCAGAATGGGTTCCATTCACACCAAGGCTGCACAGCTTCCAACGAACACAATCTGACCTGGTGAGCCCTTCATTTTGGCTGTGGAGCAAAGGGAGACATTGCAGGCCAGGGCCGAGATGCAGGAGTGGGGAGGCACAGAGAGGACACAGACCTCGGTAGGCAGAAGAGGCCAGAGGGCAGGCGTGTGTGCCCAGGAGGAGCCGGCTTACCGAGCACCTCATGTTTAAAATCCTGCCTGCACTTGCGGCTCAGGCCCCATGGCCCCATAATGGCCTTCTCCAACACTGACGAAATGAACTTTGAGTTTTTGACTTTGCTCCTGGACCACCCTTAGCTTTCGCTTGCATCAAGAATGAAATGATGGGGCCGGGTGTGGTGGCTCATGTTTGTAATCCCAGCACTTTCGGAGATCGAGGCAGGAGGATCACTTGGGCTCAGGATATTGAGACCAGCCTGGGCAATACAGTGAGACTCTGTCTCTACTAAGAATACAAAAATTTTCCAGGCATGGTGGCATGTGCCTCTAATCCCAACTACTCGGGAGGCTGAGGCAGGAGAATTGCTTGAGGAGATAGAGGTTGCAGTGAGCCGAGATCGCACCACTGCACTCCAGCCTGGACGACAGAGCAAGACTCTGTCTTGGAAAAAAAAAATTATTAAAAAATAAAAAAAAATAAAAACAAGACGGAAATGATGCCTGGGGCACAAGTGGCTGCTGGGCTTCCTCTTGTCTGCCCAAACACCACAGTGCCGTTCCAGCACAGCAGAGGTTTTTCCTTGTTTCGGGTCGCTGACTTCTTGGGGGAGTTAATAAGAATCAGTAATGCCAGTTTATTGAGCTGTGCCTGGCATGGCACATACATTGCCTCATTTGATCCTCACCAAATCCTGTGGGGGAGATACTGTTTTGCACCCACTTTACCCGTGAGGAAAGCGAGGCTCTCACGAAGTTTAAAGACCGCTCAAGGTCACACAGTGATCCAGATTCAAACCCAGCTTGTGGGACCCTAGAAACTGACTTGGAACCACTGAACTGAAGAAACCTCCAGTCCTCTCCCCAATGGCAGTTATGTGCTCATGAGCACACAGTGGGGCTGCAGGTTCACAGGTGCCTGAAGCCCTTCCAGGAAAACCCAGAAGCGACTCCTCTAAGAGCAAGGCCTGGGCTGTGAGTGTGCATTTCCTCTCCTGGCTGAGACACACCCTGGCTCTTCCCGGGACCCACTTGCTTCTTGTTCTCTAGGAACTGAATACTCAGGGCTGTGGCCAAGTCCCTGCTGTGTGCTGGACACGGAGCCAGGCCTCACTGCCTGTTCCCCTCCATAACCCAGGGATTCCATTATCAGAGGGACCTGATGTTTCTAGATCCATCAGTAATGACTTTAGTGCGCTGAATGGCCTGGGCTCTTTCTATTTATGATATTGCACTCACTGGGCCAGAGCCCCGGGCTGCCAGGCCTTGTCACCCTCTGGCGGGATGACGAGCTTTGGGCTTTTTGGGCACCAGAGTAAATCGACCGGTTTGGGCAGCTTTCCGGGTGTGCAGAGGCTTCTTCCAAAAGGCAGTCTGGCTGGACTTATTCAGAAGGACAATCTAGACGCCCCATTCAACTCCAACAACCCAACCTCCAGGCTGCTTCCTAGGGAGCCACGCTACCCATGACACCTAACACTGGGGACACCAGGGAGAACGGGAGCCAGAGGGATCACCCTGCCCTAGCCCTCCCAGAACTGGGAGCGCCTGATGTTTGTCTGATTGTACGACAAACATTTCCCCGGAAGTAATAAAAATGTGTCCGCAGGACCCTCGGCCTGGCCAACCTTCCTCGGAGCACATCCTGCGGGGACCCTGGGCAGGGACCTGTTTCCTTCCCCTTGTGACCTCCGGCGCCCCTCTCTTTCCTTCCCTCACTCCCTCCCCTTTTCACTGCCTCCCCTTCTCCTGGGTCCAGGCTTTTGCGGGGAGGTGGCCTCAGTCCAGGGGCTCTCCGGCTCCCCGGGGTAATGCGGTCCCGGGGTATTTTATTTCCACCCTTAGGGACGGTGCCTGCCAAGCTGCCTCCCGGGCGCCCTGCTGCCGCGGCCTCTACGCTGCACCCTGCCAGGACCAAGGCCAGGACAGCCACTTCTCACCTCCCAGCTCAGGCCCCAGGAGCGCAGACCCTCGGGCAGCCCGCGCTCCGCCCGCCTTACCTGCCAGCTGTGCAGCCAGGAGGAGCCACAGCCGCGGCCGCATCGTGGCGCGCCCGGTACACCTGGCCCCGGGGGCTCGGCGAAGACAGTCGCGGCTGAGGTGGGTGAGGAGCCGGGCCGGGCGGGGCGCCCCGGGTCGGGGAGCTGGGGGGAGCAGTGGGGAGGGCGGGACCGGGCAAGGCGGGGGCGGGAGTCTTGTGTTGGGGACCGCGAGGTCTCCGCCTCATCCTCCTCGCATTGCAAAGGTCTGGGCTGCGTTTCCAGAGCCCACCAGGACCCTCCGCTTTCCAGAAAGGAGGTGACACCGCCGGCTTCCCCCAGGCAGCTGCATGTGTGTCATCGCCCCCTGCCCCGGGAGATGCTCAGGACAGGGTTGTGACCCCGAGTGACAGTCGAGGCTCAGAGAGGTCAGGATGTGTAGTGCATGGTGGAGCTGGCCACTAACTCGGGCCATTTCTTGTCTGTTTGAGTAGTTATTGAGGGGCTCCTGCGTGCCCCGGGCTGGGCTGGGCCTGGAGTCGGCAAGCCCCAAGCCTTGCCCTCCCTTGCCAGGGAGGAAGGAAAGGTAACCAGCTGTGACACTGACGGAGGTGAGCTGGGAACTGGAGGTGCAGAGAAGGCCCCGACCCTGTTTGTAGGTTGTGGGGGTGCAGCAAGACCTAGATCTTAAGAATTTCGAAGGACTGTGACAATCACTGGCTGCGCCCTGCCGGCGAGTGCCCTGGGGCCGGTTCTATTTGTTGTGTGATCCAGCCCTGGTGGGGAGATTTGTGAGGGGAGACCTGGCTCAGGCTGCATCTTCCTGTTGAAACGGGGGTTAGCAGAAAGGGGGTTGGGGAGGTCCAGGGAGAACTGGGCATGCGGCCTGGAGGGGAGAGGGAGCCCTTGGAGGGCTGTGGGAGAGACCACTTGTAAATGTCAACGAAGACCCAGCCAGGCAGGCCCATGGGTTACCCTAACAGCTTAGAGTTTATCAGAGAGGAAATGGCGTGTCCCCTGACATCTAAAGCAGGCAGCGGGGCAAGGACACTGTCACATTTGGTCTCCACATCCAGTATTCTTTCCATCCCACTCTTGCCCCAGCCCCTCTGCCTATTGCTGGTGACAGAGAGTTCAAAGGCATCGCGGAGCTGGGTGCAGAGAGTTCAAAGGCACTGGGGGAAAAGAAGTCACTCAACCCAGCCAGCGGCCAGAGTTTCCCTGGATACTGCCTTTGCTCCTAGGCTGAACTGGTGAGGTCTGGATGGACAGAGACCTGGGGAGACCACACATTAGTGTGAGCTTTTTTAAAAAATTGATGTGAATTTCACATAACACAAAATTAACCATTCAAAAGCATACAGTCCAGTGATATTTAGTATCATATTTGGGAGCCCAAATCAAACAAAAATATATTGAATAAGCCTCTTTTAGTAGGGAGTTAATGATTCCACTGTTACCGTTAAAAGAATTGAAAGCAGAATCCCTCCTACTCAGAGAAGTCACATGAGGTGCAAAGCAAAGAAAAGAATGTCTTTAGAGAGTTTATTTCCAAGTTGGAGACCAGGCACATGGAATGCTCCCCTATTAGAGGTCAAAGTGCAGTTCTATATCCTAAAGTCAAGTCCATACAAACACTTTACCAGTACTACCTCCCCCAAAGGACACCAAGGACACATTTCACTTTTTTTTTTTTTTTTTAGAGATGGGATCTTGCTCTGTTGCCCAGGCTAGAGTGCAGTGGCTGTATCTCAGCTCACTGCAACATCTGCCTCCCGGGTTCAAGCAATTCTCCTGCCTCAGCCTCCTGAGTAGCTGGGATTACAGGCATGTGCCACCATGCCCAACTAATTCATTTTGTATTTTAGTAGAGATGGGGTTTCACTGTGTTGCCCAGGCTGGTCTCGAACTCCTGAGCTTAGGCAATATACCCACCTCAGCCTCCCAAAGTGCTAGGATTACAGACGTGAGCCACCGCACCCGGCCTCCCACTTTTTTTTTTTTTTTCCACATTAATTTTCTTATTTTAGTGATTTTATTTTAAAATATTGAAACACTAGGTTCATATTGTACTGTCAATCAAAAATAAAAATAAAAAATGTTAAAAAACATAATAAAGAATATCCAGGATTTTAAAAATCACATAAAGAAATGGAAGTCTCTTTTTCTGCTCCTACCAATTCCAGACTCTAGGGTGAGCCTCTTATCAAAAAGAAATTTATTCAAATAAGAGAAAGAGGGCCAGGTGCAGTAGCTTGCACTTGTAATCCCGGCTAGTCAGAAGGCTGATGTGGGAGGATTGATTGAGATCAGGAGTTGGAGACCAGCCCAGGCAATATGGTGAAACCCTGTCTCTACCAAAAAAATAAAATAAAAGTAAAAAATTACCCAGAGGTGGTGGCGCGTGCCTATAGTACCAGCTACTTGGGAAGCTGAGGTGGGAGGATCACCTGAACCCAGGAGGTTGAGGCTGCAGTGAGCCGTGATTGTGCCACTGCACTCCAGCCTGAGAAACAGAGTGGAAACCTTGTCTCAAAATAAAAAGGGATTTTTTTTTTTTTCCAGGAGATCAAAAATGTTGATCCAGTAGAAAAGTTAATCTCTGGCCAAGAATAGTGGCTCATGCCTGTAACTTTGGGAGGCTGAGCTGTGAGGATCACTTGGGGCCAGGAGTTCAAGATCAGCCTGGACAACATAGCAAGACCCCCATCTCAATTTAAAAAAAGGAAAAAAAAGAAAGAAAAGCTAATTTAAAAGTTATGACTGCCCAGAGGACATCAAGCATTTCTGTATCTAAATTAGCAAACTTATTGCAACATAAATCTCTGTTCCTTAAATACTTTTCAGACTAAGCGTGTCATGCTTCTTGGTCTTTTACTTCTTTGTGCACAAATGCAAAAGTAGAAGGAAGAAAATGAGAGGGTGAAGAAGGGCTGGGATACTTAGTGTCAACTGGCTTTGCTCAGGACCTTGGCCAATGAGAGATCTATCGGTTCTAACTACATCTATAGCTATATACGCATGTGCATATGCATTTATATTATTTTACATAGTTCAAAACATTCTCTGACAGATTGATCTAAAATCAGCTTGTGTTTGGAAAATTTTCTTATTGTTTGGCAGTCTTAGCTCAAACCTGGTGAGCAGAGTGGTCTAGATTCTAGCCCCTACTCACCTCCTTCGTTGAGCATCTGTATCTTGTGGCCCTGGGCCTATCAGCAAGACAGAAATTGGAACTGGGCTGGACACTAACTGGTGCCCTACCTTGGGGGAATGGCTCTCCTGTCTGGGTCCCACAGTTCTCATATGAATCACACCTACTTCACAGCACGTTTTGTGCGATCAGACTCAGCGTGTAATGCAGTGTGTTCTATGCCCACCACCCCACACATGCTGACTGAACACAAGCTCTGCTATTCCAGGCCTTGTGCATTCCAGGCATTGTGCATATATTAATAAGCTAAACAGATAAGATTTATGTCCACGGGGAGCATACAGTCTTGTGAGATAGACAAATAATAGGCCAGGCGTGGTGGCTCACACCTGTAATCCCAGCACTTTGGGAGGCTGAGATGGGAGGATCACTTGAGGCCAGGAGTTCGAGACCAGCCTGGTTAATGTAGTGAAAATTCATATCTATTTTTTTAAAAAAGCAAATAATAAATAAATGCTATAAAAATGTGCAATTAATGAGCCTGGTAAAGAAATAGAGGCCCAGATGAGACTTGGAAAAAAAATTTTTTTTGAGGCGGAGTCTCACTCTGTCACCAGGCTGGAGTGCAGTGGTGCTATCTTGGCTCACTGCAAGCTCCACCTCCACTGTGCCCAGGTTCACGCCATTCTCCTGCCTTAGCCTCCAGAGTAGCTGGATTACAGGCGCCCGCCACCACGCTCCGCTAATTTTTTGTATTTTTAGTAGAGATGGGTTTCAGCGTGTTAGCCAGGATGGTCTCATTCTCCCGACCTCGTGATCTGCCCCCCTCGACCTCCCAAAGTGCTGGGATTACAGGCGTGAGAGGATTACAGGCGTGTACAGGATTACAGGCCCGGCCGAAAAATAAATAATTTAAATAAATTGTTGCAACCTTATTCTGTGGCTTGACGAAAATGTGATTGTGGAACCTGAGCAACATAGCTAACAGCTGCAACTTTTGCTTATCTGATTATAGATTCATCCTTTTAAAATTTTTTTTTCTTTGTAAAATGTTGTGAAAGACTGAATGGCACCGAGATAAGACCCCTTCCCTTCTTAGTCACTGATCTTTTGTTATAGATTAACTTCTTTTCTTGTACCAGATGGCACAAAATACTCCATGACTATTAAATTACTCAAGATGCAGCTGTGCATGGCAGCTCACGCCTGTAATCCCAGCACTTTGGGAGGCTGAGGTGGGAGGATCTCTTGAGTTCAGGAGTTTGAGACTAGCCTGGGCAACATAGTGGAACCCCATCTCTTAAAAAAAGGGGGGGATATCTTTGGGAGGAGTCATTTTTACCACACGTAACAATCAAGTTTCCTCAAACATAATTCCAAAATTAAAAACAAAGCAGAGAAAGAATGGAGAAGAAACTATAGATTAAAAGGGATTTAAGAGCCAGTCATGGTGACTCATGCCTGTAATCCAATTATTCTGGGAGGCTGAAGTGGGAGGATCACTTGAGGCCAGGAGTTCAAGGTTACAGTGAGCTATGATCATGTCACTACACTCCAGACTGGGCAACAGAGTGAGACCTGTCTCTATAAATAAATAAATAAATAAATAAATGATAAAATATTAAGTATCTCTTTCCAAAAAGGAACAAGTTAAACCAATCAGCTTGCTGTAATCATGAACCACCTTTGTATGGAAGATGCTGTAATCCCGCTAAACTTCTTTGTTTCTGCCTAGATAGTGAGATCTTAACTTCTTCACTTCGCAGGACTGACTGCCTTCCTTTGGAGTCTGTACTTCCCAGGTAGATATCCTCAAACTGTGTGCTTCAATAAGCCTTCAAAGTTCTATGTTAATCCCTTTGATTATTTCAGGCTGACAGACTGGAGGTTGCTGTGTGTGTATGTGTATCACTGTGTTGTCACCTGACAAATGAGGAGGTTCCTAAGTTTAGAAAGGAGAGCTTTATTTCTCACAAAAGGTTGCAGCCTGCAAGTGGCCATTCTGACAGGTCAGGAAGCTTGGACTCCAGCCAG